GCACTTCTCTTCTGCCTCCCCCAGAATTCAGTAAAAAGTATTTAAAAACGTTTTGCACGTACACAGGGTGAGGCTTCTCAACCGTGGGAAGAGTGGGTGTGTGAAGCAGGAACAAGCAAGCAAACTCCCTTCCTCCCTCCTTTGTCTCAGGAACAGGCAGTGAAGAGACGCTGTTGAGCCTTTACCTGGGGGACCCCCCCCCCATTCCCCTTCTCTTGTTGGTTGGGTGGAGGCTGGGAAGGGAGTGACCAAATCAACAGAGAGTGTGTAGATTCTCTGCCCCCCAAACCAGTCCAGGAATGGGAGAGAAAGAATTCTACACTTGAAACATACATTACACAAGAACCCAGGAGAGATAGCCTCTCTGGATTTATAGCCACAGCCACCAGGATCTCTAGATTAATCCTTCACCAGCCTGAGATAGAGATCCAGAATCTCAGTTGGCATGTGGATATTACACTTCCACAACTCTGTCTAGAGCTGTACAGTTAATCTTAGCAAGGTAGCATAATTGGTCAGCGGTCCTGACAACAGGACTTAGCTTGGAGTCAGTTGCACATCAAGCAGACACTATTTATAAACAAGAATAAGGTTTATTCAGTACAGACTTGCAATCAGACTAGAAGAATCCAAAAGAACAACCTAAGCAATGTTTTGCCTTACTACACAATAATAAGCATATTTACCAAGTCAGGAACAAGTATCAGTCCAGAATAGTCCCAAGGGATTTGGAGCAAGAAGTCCATCTTTGGAAGCATGTAGCCATGTGCTCAGCTGCACAAAATAGTTCTTTGTTCTGCCTCAGACCACATGGCAGGACAAGAGCATTTCAGTGTCCATCCCAAATCTTACAACCAGGAACAGAACAGAGCGAGGGAGCTTCTCTCATTGGGTTTAAACAGATATAGGGCAATTCCAGTTTTCAAATTATCTCTGGCCAGGATCCAATTGAAGTAGACAGGGGGTGTCCAACTTTTGGGTTGTCATGGCTACAACTTCTGAATGGTCAGTTGTCTCGGAGGCCACACCTGCAGTTATGTGATCCCCAAGCACTAACCACTCCTCTATGCTTTACGTGAGTCCTGGCATGTAGGCACAGCCAGGCGCCATCAGGTCTAGCT